ACGCAAAGGAAGATGGTATCGCAGCGGTTTCGGTGTATCTGGTAAGGTGGTCGACACACACTATTATCCAGCGGTTGTTGTTCGAAGATCGCGGAAATGGGCCTAATAGGTCGATGCCCACTTGCTCGAAAGGCATAGTAGGCAGTTCTACGGGGTGAAGAAGGCCGTGCAGTGCACTGGTAGGTCGTTTGTGACGCTGGCAGTTCCCGCAGCTTGGGACGTATTGTTTTGTAAAATCTCGCATTCGAGGCCAGTAAAAATGCTGCTGCACTCAATGCGGGGTGCGAATGAGCCCAAGGTGTCCTGACGTTGAATCATCGTGCATAGTACGGAGAACGTCGCAACGAAGACTTTGAGGTACAACCAGTAAATAACGTGCGCCGGTGCCAGGTAGGTAGAAGAGAAAGCAAGCGGAACAAACGTTACTGCAGAGAGCTCAGATCCAAGGAGAGACGTGCATGACCTATGTCGAAGCAATCATGAAGCTCTGCAAGATCGTCAACCCTTCTATGTCAGAGGAAGACGAAGTTGGCCACCTGTTGAAGGGCATTGCCGAGGTCGTGTATCAGTTCCTCATCAGCAAAGACAGCCTTGCTACGGTAACCGACGTCATAGGCCACTGTCGCACATTCGAGACCCAGAAGATGCGACGTATCACCCGCAAGTTCGGTCACCTACCGAATGTAACCATCGTGGCAAGTGATGACGAATACACGCCGCTATCTTGCGTCGACAATACGCCAGATCGTTCGAGAAGAGCTCACTCGACACGCTCTCCCAACGCCGTACGAAGCTACACCCGCACCACCTTCCTCTCGCCTACCCGTGTCAATTGCCGCACCAGACATCGTCGTCTTTCTCTTCTACCTACCCGGCACATACTATAGCCCAGCTCATACCATAGCATTATATATATATATATATATATATAGGACGTACGTGCGATGCGCCAGCGCTTTGTATTTTACGGCGTCATCCATTGGTGGATTCGGAGTGACCCACGAACTCTGCGCTGGAGCACTCTACTCTGGCGGAGGGCAACAGAAGAGATTCTACCAATGGAACACACACGCCCTCTCTGTAGCAAATGACAGGGTCAGGATAGAACCCGATGTGCACATCTCTCTTTTTGCTTGAGTGGGCACGCTGGGCACAATGACGCTACGCTGGAAATACGTGAGCTCTCACGCGGGGCGCAATTGACACCACTGGCTGGAGCGCCCAAATTATGCACCGTTTCAAGAGGTGTCAAGGCACGAGGCGCTTGTGACTTCCGATCAAATCCACCGATTTTTTCGGAGTAGAAAGTGTTACTCCTTGTGGTGGATCTCGCGACATAGATGTTTGAGATATGCCAATGGAATATACGAACATACAGGGAGCACTGTCAATCTGCCAACGGAACAGTCTTGCTCCACATGGAGCAGCAGAAACTATTAACGGAAGTGCTACGAATCCGCCAATGGATGATACCATTAGTCAGAATGCGCTCACGCATTGGTGTGTTCCAGCCCGTGTAAATGACTGTGATAGTCTACCGTACTTCATTGCTCTACTGGCTTTTGTCGCAATAAAAATCGCAGCATGTGTAGTCTAGCCTTGCCGTGCTTTCTCTTGATTTTAGTGTGTAGCAATTTTGAAAGGAGAATTCTTCTGTCTGCGTTATGTTTGGTTCCGTCGGTAGGACGAATGCCAACACTGGTCGGTGCCGGTAAAAGTAAAAAACTGAAGCCACGTGTCGTTTTTGCAGGCTTCATCAAGTTTGGTTCTTTAAAAAAAGTCACAGCTTTGCCACAAAGGCGAAACAATGATCGCGGTAGCAAAAAATTGAAAAAGTCATGCACAGAATGAAAAGCAGCATTTTTCCTGCGTTTTTCTTGCGCAAATGACGCAAGAAACGTACTCTCTGGCAAAGATGCACGCGAATAAGCGTCTCAGTTGTTACTTCGCTGTGTCTCAAAAGCGCGCGCTTTTCGCGAACGGAGATGCGTATGCAGTGACCTTTGTGCACCCAGTAACTACAACAGACTCGTTCTAGGTAAAGCCAAGACGTACGATCTTCCCCTCCTCGCCCCCCCGAGATAAGGGCGCACGGTGGAGCGTCGCTCTAAAGCATTTTACGTCGCTCCTCTTTCTCTAAGTGGGGCAAAGTACGCGTGGGATATTAGAGTGGGCGCCGCCGCGCGATGTGGCGACGCCGCCACGCGCTCATTGTGCCATCTTGCTGATAATGCTGAAAACACAATTCTTCCCGAGATACCCATCAGCAGCGGTAAGTGGCATATATAAATAGCTTTCTCTTTGAACAATGGACGACATGCTTCTCGGTGGCTCAGTCGTAAACGGCTCGCATTCAGGACTTAGTGGTTCCAAGTTCAATCCCGCGTGCTAGAGTCTTTTTAAGATTTTTTTTGTTACGTTTTCATATATATATATACCTTTACATATACGGTAAATGACGCCGACGCCGGCGGTGAAATCCAGCGGAAAATGTCCGTATAATTGCTATCACGCATAATGAAACAGATACCTCAGTGGTCATTTTAGGCAAGCACACCCTTTCTTGTTGTTCTCATGAATGGAGGCGCACGCCATGGTCACGTTTTTCTGCCGTGTACAGGCAGGCATGCAGGCAAGCGAACACATAACCGGCAGTGCCAACAAGCGCCTATTTGAACACATGAGGGGAAAAAAAATGGGCAGATCTCACGTACAGCGGGAATCGATGATATACGAAGCATGAATGAAAAAGGTTGATATGTCACTTTAGGATCAACCCAACGTTGCGAGGTGGAGGTAAATGTTGCCGTACATAGCTCCCGTGTCATTATTATCATGTTTGAATGTGACGTTTACCTTCGTCATCTATTCACGTCACGTGATACGAAATTTTGTATATGTGGAGCTAGCGAAATGGCCAGGAGCACGCTATGAGCGTGGTATGTTGTCATGTTCTTACTTGACACGGATGTCAGGATTATCATGCTTGCACCAGTAATATACTTTGTCATTCGTTAACGTCACTTAACTCCAAATTTGGTATATGTGGACCTAGCAAAACGGCCGCGAGCGCCTCATGAAGAGCCCATTAACCTCCAATGCAGCCTTGACGCGCGCGCGCTGGGCATAATGACCCCACGTTAGCAAAATGGGAGCACTCTATAGTCTGACGCCAGGCGCGACCGGTGCCCGTCGGCGTAGCCCGACGCCAACCGGTTCGAAATGCAACATGCTGCATTTCACGCCGATACATTACCCAGACAACACTGCGTCTCCCTCTTTTCGTGATGGAGGTATGCCAAACGCGCCAAAAGGCGCATGCGTCAAAGCAACGCAGCGCGGCACGTGCTTGCGAGTATCAGGCAGGACCAGCGTCTGGCGGCCCAACGCCGGCGTGATACGTCGAAATGAACGCCGGCGAGCACGCGCACCTGGTCAAGTCCAAATGTATTGGCGTCTTGACTGTGACATGTAGTTATGTTCTCAGATGACCCACATTTCATGATTATAATGTTTGCGCCAGTCACATACTTTCGTCATTCATTGACTTCGCGTAATACCGAGTTTGGTACATGTGAAGGTAGCAAAACGGCCACGAGCGCTTAATTAGTGTGGCATGTAGTCATGTTGTTACATGACACGCATTTCGTGATTATCATGTTTGCACCAGTCACAAGCCTTTGTCATCCATTCACGTACCGTAGTACCAAATTTGGTATATGTGACGCTAGCAAAACAGCTGCAAGTGCATCATAAGTTTGGCATGTATTCATGTTGTTACATGACAGGCATATCATAATTTCATGTTAGGGTCTGTTGCTTGTGTTCGCCATGCAATCATGTCATACCATACCAGTTTCGCAACATGCCATGTGAACGAAACCGCCGCAAGAGCTGCGACACCATAAAATGTAAATCATGACACTCATGACATCCATGTCATGACTTTCATGTTATGACTAGTCAAATAAGTTTCTATCTATCTATCTATCTATCTATCTATCTATCTATCTATCTATCTATCTATCTATCTATCTACATACAGTCATGTTATGCTATACCAAGTTTGGTATTGATACCATTATGGAAACGGCCAGGAGAGCTAAAAATCTTAGGCGGCTCAGAGCTGGAGATGGAACGGCAAGATTGCGACGCCCATCCGCTTTCAATACGATTACGCGAGAGCCGGTTATCCCCTTGAAGGGGGAAGGGTTGCAATCTTGCCGTTCCCTATCAGCAACGAATGATTGTTTTGCTCGCTGCGAGATGACGGGACAAGAGACTGTGGTTGCTCTCGCTTCGGCTGGAGCGGGCAGGCCGCGCATCGCCGTGTTCCTTTTCATACAAATTGACAATGTACATATGGTTTTCTAGCTGTTGCATCACATAACATGTGTTTAACACTCAAGACGTCGGAGGGTGAATACTGAGACGCACGACTACCGCCCAAGATTTTTTTAGGGGCGAAGCTTCTTATGGTGTCACCCGTTCGTCTCCCGTTATCGTTTGTAACCACTGGTGACAAATACCCGAGAAAGTGGGTATGTGCCACAAGGGATAGACTTTTAGGGGCGAAGCTCCTTAAGCCGTAGGTTTGTGTGTCCTCGATATATGTAGTAGGTAGTCACATCTCGTTTAGTTTTAAATGTCCGCTAGATGTAGGTACTAATAGATAATCAATATATGATGAAAAGATGCAATACGGTCTTACTTGGCGTATTCACTAGACAAACGAACATGTAGACGGACAGACGGACGCTTCATCCCCCCCCACTCAATATTATTTAGTCCGTGAATATGCTGTGATCCTTTTCTTTCTCAACGCACTAAATTTCGTGCCGCTACATTGCCAACATTCGCGTCCTCTTTGTGGGTTTCCTGTATTATATACTTGATGCAATCTACGGCATCGGCTCGAGAACGTATACGTGAACTTTACTCTCGTTTTTGCGGTGCCATACTTACCTCCTTCGTGTGGATAAATGACACCGAGAGTATACCTGAAACTCGTCCATAAGGCCAGCTCTGAGTCCGGCGACAAGCGCCCGGTAACGGAAGAGCCAGGCCAGGCCCGCCAGGGCATCCCCGAGCAGAAGGGCGAACAGCAGTGCCCAATAGGCGTGCAGCAGCCGCTGGTTCATACGCAGGGCTCCAAGGCAGCCGAGGGCCTGCATACACACGCCAATCACTGTGAGCACGCATCACGAGGGAATCATTTACACTGCCACACATACTTCTCATTGCACAGTGCTTCGACACCTTTAGCTCAGCTGCAAGTTCATAATTTATAAGAATGAAATGCTCTTCACTTACTACCTGAGAGTTAGCTGTGATTATAAAACACGTTACGACACTGCAAAGAGCGTCATAAACATCACCCGGATTCAGTAAAAAAAGAAAAAAACACTGTTACGGGAACTACCGCTGCTTAGAAGTAAATAAATAGACAAATCCAAAAAAATGCATGGTAAAAGTGCACGGAAAATTGCGCACGTCCAGAAAATCAATCCTTCACGAGAGTGTAATGTCAAACATACGCGTTTTAAGAAGCTTGTCGAAATGTTGATGAACGCTACGAAGAACAAGTGTGATGCCGTCCGAAAACGAGCTTTTTGGGGCAAGGCCGTCATTTACGATTTATTTTATTTATTAATTTTTTATTTATTGATACTGCAGTCTCAAACAGAGACTATAGCAGGTGTGAGACAGAGGTACAGAGTATTCTGAAAGGGCAAAATAATATACACGCAGAAAATGCATAACGCGGACAATATAATGCATACAGTTAAAGCAACACAAATAGGGGTGCGAAACAAAATTCGATGTAATTAGTGAAATGCCAAGTAGGGTATATAAAATATACAGAGAATACATTGCCGGAAAAAAGATTCCATTTAATTGATAATCGAATTTTACAAGTGACACACAAAAAGGAACAAATGCAACAAAAGATATAATCAATGGTACTAAAGAACTACTCTAAGCATTTTTCAAACAATGAAAGTGATTCTTGTGTTACAATGTTATTAGTTAGGTTGTTCCAATCAGCAATAGTTCTACAGAAGAAAGAGTATTTAAAGCAATTATTTCGTGGAAATAAAGGAGCTATCATTAATGAGTGTCTTTGCCTGGTAGCATAACCCTCAGAAAAAGTGATAATGTGGGAGGTATCTATGTTGTAATGTCCTTTAACTATTTGGTACAAAAGTTTCAGTCGACAAATTTTATTTCTCTTCGAAACTGTGGGGAGCCCACTTCGTTTGATGACCTCAGTAACTGACGAACAACCATAAGAATTATAACTATAATGCACTACTTTTTTCTGTATTCTTTCTAATTTGCTGATGTTTGTTTTGGTGTAAGGGTCCCAAATAGACACGGCATATTCAAGCATGGGACATATAATTGATTGGTATGCAAGGAAGCGTACAGAAGGAGTTGCTAATTTTAAGGATCGTCGCAAGAAGAATAATTTATGTAACGCTTCATTTGTGATGACATCTACATATATGTTTTGACCATGATAGATTATTCGTGAACCATAAACCCAGGTACTTACATTCAGCAACCTCCGAGAGGCCTATATTCCATTAGCTCCGTAGTCAAATAAAAGTGGCTTTTTTTTGTGGGTTATTCGCATAAAGACCGTTTTGTCGTAATTAATAGTCATCTGCCACTCTTTGCACCATGAAATGATTTTTTGGAAGTTTTCATTTAACCTAATCTGGTCCTGAATTGAATATACTGTTTCATAAATCACGCAGTCGTCTGCATAGAGTTTAATCTTAACATTAATGTTGGTGATGATGTCATTTATATAAATTAAAAATAACAGAGGCCCAAGCACGAACCCCTGAGGTACGCCAGAAGCAACTTGAACTCGGTTGGAGCAGGTGCTATTTAGGGAAACGTATTGATACCGGTTTGTCAAGTAAGCTTTAATCCATGCTAATATCGTATGATTTGTTACAATAAGACCCAACTTGTGAAGTAATTTATTATGAGACACTTTATCAAACGCCTTCCTAAAATCCATGTAAATAGCGTCTGTTTGTTTTCCTTTGTTTATAGCTTCCGCGAAGTCATGTGTAATTCCAAGTAATTGTGTGTTAGTAGAATACCCACATCTGAAGCCGTGTTGTGCATCTGTTAGAACTTCATGCTTTTCAAGGAAATCTACTATGTGCTTATAAATTATGTGCTCGAAGATTTTGCATGAAGTAGATGTCAACGAAATAGGCCGATAATTGGCAATGTTGGATTTATCACCAGATTTAAACAGTGGTTTGACTCTGGCGGTTTTTCAGACCTCCGGCAATGCGCCGTCACTCAGAGATTTTTTAAATAATATGAGCAAATACTTTGCACACCACTCTGCATATCTTTTTAAGAAGGCGTTTGGGATATCGTCCAGGCCAGGAGATTTTTTAGCATCTATATTAAACAGAAGGTTAAAAATGCCCTGCTCAGAAATTTTTACATCCGGCATAGGTGGAAAAGACATACTAAGCACTGGAAGTAAATTATTATCTGTTGTAAATACAGATTTAAAATGATTATTGAAGGCATTGGAGGCCGCTGGGTCATCACTTATGACTTTTCCGTTAAGAGAAAATGAAGTAGTGTCACATGAACTCGGTTTAATAGACCTCCAAAGCTTTTCTGGAGACGTCTTAATAAAGGAAGGAAGTGATATATCATAGTACCTTGCCTTGTGCTCCTGAGTTTGTAGTTTTAGTTTTGTTGCTAATGTAGCAATGGCTTCGTCAAGTAGAGGACAAACCGAATTTCTGGCCTTTTGCTTTTTTAGTCTCCTAAGTTTTTGTTGTAGCTGGAGAGTTTGTCGAGTGATCCAAGCATTTTTACCAGCTGATTTTTTAGTTATTAGTGGCACATAGCGTGCTATACATTCCTGAACAATGTCTTTGAAAGTTAGCCATAGATCGTTTATATTGCTGGTGTTTTCTGAGAAAGCATTGAAGGAGAGGTCCAGGAAATCGAGGATTGACTCATCATCAGTGCGAGAAAAGTTCGGGTACTGGCGCTTGACAGTGGAATTAACATACGAAGCACCAGTTAAGGTTAATATGACAGCTTCATGATCAAATATTCCTGGTGCAACATCACACAATACATGATTTTTTACAGTACTGCTAACAAAAAAGAGATCTAGAATTGAAATTGCACTTTGAATTCTAGTAGGTTGAGATACAATCTGTAGCAAATCATAATTAAAAATCATGTCTAGTATTTTAATGTCACTTAGATCTGAAGACTGTGTGGAAAAAGTATTCCAATTTATACTCGGAAAATTGAAATCACCCGCGAGAATTAACCTGTTATTTGGTTTTATATAAGAGCACATGTAATCATCAAGATTTTCTAGAACCGAGACAGAGGAGTCAGGAGGCCTATAAATAGCTCCGAGAATGTATCGCATTTTATTTATATATGTAGCGCAAAAAATGCTTTCAACACCTGGAATATTAGGCATTCTAACGAGTTGTAAATATGCTCTAAATAATATAGCAACCCCGCCACCTCTCCTGTCCCGGTCTTTACGAAAGCAGACGTAGCTTTTTGGAACAAATTCGCTGTCGGATACCTCATCATTTAACCAAGTCTCTGTAAGCACAGCAATGTCTGGTTCATGAGTTAGAAACAGGGCTTCAAGCAGGACAGGTTTATTAACAATGCTACGGCAATTTACATTAAGGATAGATAGATTACGGGTACTTGCTTTCCGGTGTCATTTGTTATGCTTTGAAATTTTATATCTTTTACTGTTGGTTTCATCCCAACCATACGAAATGTCGTCTATATACAGCTTATCATATACCAGCTTTACTTTTGAACCATTTGCCTTTTCATGCATTGCCGTTTGCCACAATTTCTTCCTGGTTTCTCTAATACCGGCTGAAAAGTCCTCAGTGACCGAAACAGGAGATCCCTTTAGCTTGAAACATGCTTTAAGTATTGACGTTTTCTCGTGATAGTCCAACAACCTTATTATCACAGGACGATTTCTAGCGGTGTTTTACCCAGTCTGTGGCATCGTTCTATGCCATTTACAGTAATTCCAAGTTTTTGTAAGAACAAGTTTTCTTTGATAGTAGTTGTTAGATTTTCAGTAGTTTCAGAGACGGCCTCTTCAATGCCATACATAACTAGATTATTTCTCCTGCTCCTATTTTCAAGTTCTTCATTTCTTTGCGCTGCAAGAGCTACAGCTTCTTTAAGTTTAGCAACTGTTTTTTTCATTTCGTCTACTTCATTTTTAAGTGAAAGTAATGGGGCTAGTTGATGTTCCAAATTTCCAATACGGTCATTTAATTTGATAATGTCGGTTTTAATTTGACCCTGTTTAGCTAAAATGTTGGATTGACCTGAAAGTAACTGCATCAACAATTCCTTTTTAGTCGGGTCAGGGTTAGGTTCAACGTCACCACATGACAAAAGGCTAACTTTAAATGTGTAAATATCTATAACAAATTTTTGAATGTTTGGTGGGCATGGCAGCAGCAGCAAAAAGCGGTTATCGCTTCTGAAGCAATGGGTAGACAAGTATCTACTGACCTGAACGATAAAGCAGAAGGGGCTTAGCATTTTGCTGGAAGCGCCTAGTGCGCTGCTACCATACACACTGGTCGCTGCTTGTGGTGTTGGTCTTCTTATAGCAGCAGGATTGTCCACGTGATGAGATGTTATCCAGCAAGGAGCATGTGCAGATTCCAGTGCGTTCGGCAGAGTGACTTCACATAAAGTGAAGATACGTGTGTTCGGTGAAACGTTGACGCTGCCACTGTAATCCACGCAGATGTTCAGCATCGGTTGTAGGTAGATCCACGCAGCCGACACCTGAACGATAAAGCAGAAGGGGCTTAGCATTTTGCTGGAAGCGCCTAGTGCGCTGCTGCCATGCACACTGGTCGCTGCTTGTGGTGTTGGTCTTCTTATAGCAGCAGGATTGTCCACGTGATGAGATGTTGTCCAGCAAGGAGCATGCGCAGATTCCAGTGCGTTCAGCAGAGTGACTTCACATAAAGTGAAGATACGTGTGTTCGGTGAAACGTTGACACTGCCACTGTAATCCACGCAGATGTTCAGCATCGGTTGTAGGTAGATCCACGTAGCCGACACCTGAACGATAAAGCAGAAGGGGCTTAGC